CATGTCCTAGTCTGAGCTCTGGTGCCCAAGGACATGAGAAGGCACAGAGACTTCTCTTGAAGAATAAACTTGTTTTACTGATTTGTTAGGAGAGTTAGAGGCCAGGGGAAAATTAATGAGTGGAAAGCAGCCAGGAAAAATCTAGTCCAGTTTATTTACTAGAAACAGCATGAAACAAGCTCTTCTATTGACCCTCCACTGCTTCTTGGTGAGATTTATTGTGAGCCATGAGCAACTTCCACATGAGTCTTGGAAAAAAGTGTATGAACATAAGCACCAAATAAAATGAGCAGCCAAATTCCTGGCTACTCCATCCACTGACCTTAACGTTTTTGCTCACTAAGGCCCTTTATTCTGAACAGCAGCTCTGAGAGAATCGAGGCTGCCAGTTCCATTTTCACACAGAACTGCTAGGGACAAAGTTAATCCACCTGGATTCCAGTTCTTGCAATGGTTTGGGGCTGTTGTCACGTCCTGTTCAGTTGTTTGTTGGAACACATTACATCAGCCTGGTCTTAAATGTGATCTTTCCAGCTTCAGAGTGGAGGAAAAGATCACAAAGTGTGTGTTGTTCAGACATACTGAGGCTGAGAAAATAGAAGGGTCACTTGCCCAGTCCTGTGAGCTAAAAGTACCAATTCCCCAAATCCTCCAGAGCAGGTAATTTCCTGAAAGGAAAAGGACTAGAAGAGCTGTGGCTGAACAATAATCCTCAGTTTCCTTGACCACTTCACTTTTTTTCTGATTTTTGAGTATTTTGTCTTGACTCTAAGGTGAAGAAATTCATCTCTTCACTTACAATGTGCTCTAGAGCCAAATACACTTTATGTAGGGATAGAACAAGCTTTAACCTTGCTAGAAAAGAAGCCTTGGCTAAATGCAAAGGTGTGACATTACCTGCTGGAGTCTGTGGAGCACTGGGCTGCTCAGCTGGGTGGGAGTGTGGCTCCCTTTCCTCTGGCAAGTTCTTGGCTGCAAACAAAAAGAACAGTAAACTCATTGGTCATAACATTTATCAATGCCTCTGTAGAAAATGTTTTCATTTCCAGAGGGACCACACTCAGTTCCCTGAGCTGCTCCACTGCACACCTTGAACATCCATGCAGAATCTCCAAAGAGTGTTGCATTTCATGGAGGTCACTTTTATCTAGGAGTATTCACTTCAGATCAAACAGCAGCACTAATTTTACCTGAAATTCCTTCTGATAGGTAAAACATGCATTAATTAGACCAGAAAACCAGTTATTCCAAGCTTAAAAGCAGCTGCTCTTACAGCTTAACCCCCTGCAGTATCAAAAGCAAAATAACACATGGGAAGTTTTGAATCCTTTCCCTATGATAGATATGGGATTCTAACCTGCTTAGATCAGGACTTGTAGCATTCTGCAACTGGATCATGGCAGAAAAAGGAATTGAGTGGCACTTACATGCAGAACACTGAGACATGGGCATCTGCTCTATCCTGGTATTATTCCTGCATGATGCTACTTCCATCTGGCAGTGGTTGGGGTAGATCTGTCCATCTGAGCCACACACAGGTTCCCCATCATAGCCACAGTCCCGTGAGCACATGCACTGCTCGAAGTATTCGTCCTCCAAACAGCCAAAAATGTTGTTGCATGGGCCAGAGTGAACAAAGCCTGGGGAGTAAACAAACAGCCAAAGCAATGGGAAAGGGGAAGATGGAATGGAAACGTTTCACTGATGTGAGATTTCACACTGAATTCCCTAAGATTTCTCATAGGACTTTCCAGACCTGATAGAATTGAAAGCTCTGGAGTAAAGTGCCTTTCTGCAAGAACCATATTGCAACAGATTCCAGACTTGGGATACAGCAACTATTCCAGATGCCACAGACCACAGAGAGTTCCTGGGGTGAGTTACTCCTTGCACTGATGCATGAAACTGTTCAGTGCTCCTACAGGCAACTGTGGAACTCAATTCCAAGATACTTTAGAAAACCAAACTGCATGTTGAAGAGTTTTTACCTTTATGTTTACTGACACATCTCACCTCAAGATACTTTAGAAAACCAAATTGCATTAACCTTTATGTTTACTGACACATCTCACCCTGTGCAGGTTCTTCCAGAATGCCTCTGAAGCAAGTGACAGTCACATTTTGCTGTCATCAGTTTGACACTGCTATGCCACAAACCTTTGCAGAATTTCCATTAGCACAGATAGTGACACAGAACGTTTTTCCCAATATAATTTTGAGTTCCTGTGGGTTCTATTTTCCAGCAGATCTGTGTGGCTTGGGTGTAACTTACCAACCCACTGGCTGGCTGAGCTTTCCACCTCGTTGCAGGTTGGCCCATCACAGAGCTCCCGAGCCAAGGGGCTGTTTTCACTCACATTGTAGAAACGAGTTGCTTCAAAAGCTGCAAGGCAGCAAGAAGGAGAAATCACAACTGTTCATCAGGCTCGTGCCTGGAGCTGCAGTGCTGGCAGGAATCAAAGGAAAACAGACACATACCTGGCTCGTAGTAATCGTACACTTTGATAGGAACAGGAGCTGTTTTCCCAACTATGTGCTCTCTGAAAGCTTGGAACTTCACACAGGTCATGCACTGGCTGGGAATCTGTGTGAAGTGATGGAAAAGATTCAAAAACTGCATTTTAGGTGAAGAGAGACAAATCAACTCAGCATGTGCCCCAGTGTAACACGCTGACACCTCCGAGACTAGAGATAGGGACAGAGATGATGAACCTCATCCAAATGATAAGCTCATGCAAACAGGGTGAAGTCAAACAGGATATTTTGCAGACTTTTAAAGCACATGTTTGACACACAGCAATGGAGCTCCAGCTGTATTCCCTGCCACCTACCACCACTCCTGTCAGCAGTCCAACTGCTAACCAGCTGCTGAGCAAGCCAAGAGAGACCTCATCTTCCACCCTCAGGAGATGGAAATCAGACTGCCTTTAGCAGTGAATCCAAGTGAGATTAGTTCAAGGCAAAAACTAAGTGATATCTGTCCAGAAATTCTCTGTGGATTGAAGTTCATCACCTGCTTCTACTATACTTTGTTTTCCAACCAAAACCACATCAAGTGCATCAAATGAGACTCAAACAAGTGACCAGTTAAGTGGAGCTGTGAGGGACCACTAACCACTGTACCTGTGCCTGAATCACTGCTCAATTGCCTTTTGTGGCAAAGCAACATAATTCTGAGAAACAAAGTCATTACCTCATCAAAATAAAACAGGACTTTTCTTCCATCCACTTCATATCTTTTTAATCCAATTTGTTTGTTCATCAATAACTGGGGAAAAAAAACCCAAAAAACAACAAACCAGCAGGTTTAGTTTCATCTCTCTATAGAAAACAGGTAGAAATGAGAGAATGAGATTTCAGACTGGCTAGAAAACTGAACAGACACTAAACCCCAGGGATTTAATCTTCCATAAGAGAGGGGAAATGCAAGGAAAACTGAAGTTGCTGTCACACAACTGAGGAAAATCTATGTCCTTTAGTGTGACATGACAAGGAATTGCCTGCAAGGTGCACAGTGCTGAGAGCTCCTCCTGCTCCCCAGTGCATTTATCTCCCTCAGACTGTGCCTGACACATCACCCATACTCTAACCAAGTATCTTCCAGATGGCTTTCAGTGCCAAAGCTCCAACAAGACCTTGGAGACCCCAAAACACTCGATAAAGTCTCAGATTTCCACTCCTTCAGACCACCAGGGAATCACACTGGGTATTAAAGGTTCCCTTCTCCCACCAGCTGAAAAATCCAAAACATTCTTCTGCCAGGAAAATTACTCCTTACATTTGAAAAGAGCAGCCACTTGAAAGAGCCCAAGGCACCTCCCTTTGGAGGAATGGGGTCAGGCCAGGCCTCTGCTCCTCATCCTCTCTCCCTCCAAGGCTCAGACTGTGATGTACATTGTACCAGTCAGGCCTAGAGACTCACCTCTGCTGCTGCTTTGTATTTATTGGGACACTGCATAGCTAAGGAATATCAGAACATTAACTCATAGGACTTCCCACATCTACAAAGCTTAAGGTTTAATTTTCCAAGAGTTACACCTATGATTTCTGCAGTTGGAATACTAACAACTCAATATAAGGACTGTTCTGCTGTCTGCACTTATCAGTCATTACTGGTTTGATAAGGTGTATTCAGAATGCATCTGTCACATGGAAAACATCTAATCCAGGAGTTGGGATGATGACAAGAGGCTTGGAGCATCTCCCCTACGAGGACAGGCTGAGGGAGTTGGGGGTGTTCAGCCTGGAGAAAAGAAGGTTGTGTGGAGACCTCAGAGCACCTTCCAGGAGCTGAAGGGGCTCCAGGGAAGCTGCAGAGGGATCTGTGTTAGGAACTGAAGGGACAGGACAAGGAGTGATGGATCCAAATGGAAGGAAGGGAAATTTTGGTTAGATATCAGGCAGAAGTTTTCCCTGTGAGGGTGGTGAGACACTGGCACAGGTTGCCCAGGGAGGCTGTGGCTGCCCCAACCCTGGCAGTGTTTCATTCCAGGTTGGATCAAGCCTTGAGCAACCTGCTCTGGTGGGAGGTGTCCCTGCCCAGGGCAGGGGTTGGGGCTGGATGATCCCTAAGCTCCATTCCAACCTCTAAAATTCCACGATTCTATGATGGAAGTCCATGGAAAAGGACTTTTGAGTTGCAATCCCAGCATGGGGAGCTCAGTAAGGGCCAGAGCAAACACTTCAGTTCTGTTCTCCAAACTGTCCCATTACTTCAGCCTCTGTCAGATAATCCCATTTGCAACACAGGCAGAACATTCTCTTGGATTTCTTCTCATGTCCCTAAGTTATTTTGAGACCTTAGAATAAACCCTCTGTGGAAAGCAGAACAAAGCAGCATTATTACTCTTCAGAATGCCACAAAGCACAAAATATTTCCAGGGGAATTTCCCCAAACCTGCCACCAGCAGCTTTCCCTGTGCCTTTCCCCAGCACAGTGCTCCTGGCTGTAAAACCTTGCTCCCAGCTTCCTGTAACAAGCAAAGGAACATGTGTTTAAGTCCCACACAATATGGAAAGGGCCAATTTAATTTGTCCTTATAATTTTAGGGCCCTGCTGGTGGCTGTTATTACTCAGCAGTGGATGGCTGCAGACAGCCCTTTTATGAGTGCTCCGAGGGGTTGGCGCCACCAGGAAACTGCTCAGCTCAGCTAAAGCTGCATTTTTTCTGGTGAGGTTTGATATAGACCAGCCTGGGGTGACCTCCTGACCCTGTCGACACTCAGCATTATTAGGAGGATTTGTGGCTGCACAGAGCATCGTTCATTAAGCATCTCTGCCCCAGGGCTGCTCCCCTGGGAGGGCAAACACACCCTGGGATTGCTAAGGAAGAGAACCGACTTGAGATGTACTAATTCAATTCCTGGGGTGGGAAAAAGGAGGAAAATTAGGTGGGGGGAGCTGCAGTGGGTTTGGTTACTGGTTTATCTCCTTCTGCTGTAGGTGCTAGAGTGACAGTCGTTGTACTGAGGAGATAAGACAATAACCAAACCCACTGCAGGTTCCCCCACTTAATTTTCCTCCTTTCTCATCCCAGGAATTGAATTAGTACATCAAATTCAACTGCCTGGTCTCACTATGGTTCTATTTCAAATTCTTTCCCCAAATCTCTCCAAGTCTAACGAAGATAAAGTTATTAAGAGAAAAGATCACCTGGAAGCAAAATACTTCTCAGCTATGAACCAGTTCTCAAGAAGGCAAAGATTTTACACCTCTTGAGTTAAACAGTCCTCAAAGAGCTATTTGCAGCATAAAAGCAGTGCATGTTGTGTTTCCCAAAAGGGAATGGATGGTCAGAACTGTAATGCTTCCACAAATACAAAGCAAAGCTCAAGATTACAGTTCATCTGCCCTAAAGGGCTGGGCACGAGGCACATTCTGTCCACCTCAGCTTGGCTGCAAGAAACATGATGTTCTTGCAAAGAGAGAGAGAGAGAGAGGGGAAAAAAAAACCAGCCCAAAAATTCCAAGACACAGAGCCTCCAAAGAAATGGGATCCAGATGTTGGAGATAACACAGCCCACTAAGCAGCCATAAACAGCTCCTGTTAGAGCACATTTGCACTTCAGCTTTTCCAACCGGTCTCAGTTAATTACTGTGCACTGGCTCAGCAAGAACCTTCACTTGGCCATGCTGGGAGTGTTTGTTCCTCCTGCCCAGAACATCTGGTTACTCCTTTCAGAGCAGTATTTTCTGACAAGTGAAGTCTCGTGCCCTCTCCTCCCCAATTTTAGCTGCATCTTTTCAGCCTGTGCTCTGCCAGCTTTTGCTTCCTTTTGCCCCCCAGAGGGAATTCCTCCCAGTTAGACAGTGGTGTCCCAGCCTGAGATCATGCCTTGCTCTCCCATCCCAACACCTTACCTGCTCCAGGCTCTCGATATCTGCCCGAAATCCCGAGAACAATGGCACTTCCAAGACTGCCATGTTTGAGGATCCAGAGTGCAGCCACCTTCCCATGGGAACAAAGAGAGAAAATGGAACCAAATCAAGATCCACGGAAGAAATGGACAACTCAGGATGGAGAACAACTGAAACAGGAGAAAATAATACACCAAGGATTGTCTTTTCTTGGCTTGTGGAAAGCCACAGTCTATTTGGTTTTACAAGTTCTGCTTTTGTTCAACCAAGTTATGCACAGTTCACAGAGGGAAGAGATGTAGGAGGTGTCCAGGCAAATGGAGCTGAAGGATGTAGTCACCTGTGGGGCTCCTTGCTTTAGTTTTTAAGTCATCACTAAGAAAATGGACTTGGTAAAAGGAAATAAACACTTGGAGCAGAAGAAACATCTGTTCTTTCCCAAGTGGAGGGCTGTAAATGGACTGTGGTGGGAGAGGAATGTTACTTCCCAACACCAGGCAGAGCCTTTCAACCCACAAATAGCTCT